TTTTTTGATAGACATTTTTGTTGATTTATTAAAAATATCACGATTTTTTATTCCTTGTCATTCATAAATTTCTATTGTTTTGTTCGTTTTTTTTTCATGCATGCAGATTTGCATGCAGCATGCAGAAACAATTAGCATTTTCAATAGAAAAATACACTTTTTTATCCTATAAAAATTTGAAAAAAATTAGATTTTGCTAGAATTTTGTGTAGCAATTTAAACTAAAATAAATCGATGCAAAATTTTTTTGCTTGCTTTTTTTTATTTTTAAAAAAAAAATTGCTTTCCACATAATTGCTTGTTGTTTGCATTTTCGTTGAAATTTAATTAATAAATGATAAATAGTATTTGCATGTATTATGATATTATCCAATCCTCGTGTTTAATAAGAAATTAAACAAGTAACTAATTAGGAATGAATTAATTAAATTGCCATTTTGATTGTAATGTAAAAAAAAAAAAAAAAGAATGTTATATTACAATGATAAATTGTTATAATTATGAATAAATAAATACCTGGTGAATAATTAGGGATAATTAATTAAAGTTTCATTTCTTATCATTGATAAATTACAATTTCAAATAGATTAATTACATAGCATTTATATTGCATTAGGAATATCATTTTCTAATATCATATATTTTACAATAATTTCCGTTTCATTCTGTAATTTAAATCGATGATACTCTGATGAATTTCCTCATTTGTTTAAAATTTCTAATTGAAAGTTATAAAGCAATCTACGAAAGGATGAAAAAAAAATAAAATTATCACTTTAAATATGATAAGATGATAGGAATTTACATACATATGTTTGCCATTAATGTACATCCCAAATTTGGATGGTCATTTTGATTGCCCAGGTAGTCATCATCTCGGTTGATATAATCCTAATGGTCATTTTATTTTGACACTTTCAATTGTTCGTCTATTACTAACGTTAATATTTCGAGAGTCGAGAATCATTTGTATAAGTTTGACTGTTTACGAACCATAAAAGCCGTTATTCTTAGATTATCTCGCAAATCCCGAGAGCTATTTGGGCTATTTCGGGTAAGTTGAGTAGAATGCAGAGTAAAATTTAAAGTTAACCTTAAACATGTCAACATTTAAGGCTTAATTGTTAATTAATCACCGAATATTTATTCATTTTTTATATTTTCTTTGTCCTAATCTTTTCAAAAATAAGTGGATATTTTATTTTCACAAAAGAAATAATGATTTTTTTTTTCCACTTCTTCAATGAATTTTGCTTCCCCCATTTGCATCAATATTTGCATAATTGACAATTTTGCAATCACCATTTTTCGTTTTCTCCAAATTTTTCTTTCTAACAATCATACCATAATCCAGCATACTGTAAACCATATCAATTACAGATTTCTTGATTGGCATATATTCCATTTGAAGAAGTTGTCGTGACTGGAAGAAGAGGAAATGAATGAAATAATTTTTTCAACATTACTAAAATGCTCATTTTGCAATGTAACATGCAAAAATAATTGGTTAAATTATTTTCTAAAATAAAAAAAAGAAAATAAAAAAAATAAAATGTTTTTAAATAAAATTTCTCATCAAATTTTTTCACGTTTTAAATTGAAATTTACAAAAAAAAAAAAATTTTTCAATTTATCATCTTTAATGGAAAAAAAAAACTTTTCAATTTTGGACAAATTAATTTTACTTTCAAACTGAAAGAAAAGTAAAGAAGGGTGGAAAATAAAGTTTTTTTTTTATTTTCAATTTTTACCTTTGTATTATCAAAATGTAATTTTGGTCCTAAACGATATTTCACTGCTTCAAAATGTGGGTCACGTGTCACCTTAGCATATAATTTTGCTAACCAATTTGGCGTTTTTACACGTGAAATTTGAAAACCTGAAATTTCATTTCTAGTAAAAAATTTTATCTTAAAATTAAACTTTTAATTGTGATTGAAGAAATAAACTTTTTTGTTAAAATTTTTTTTTAATAAACAAATGAGTAATAATAACATCATCTTATTCTTACCACTCAAGAAAATTTTTAATAATTGGCGCAAAAGGTAAAGAAACATAATGATATTGGCGCAAAAGGTAAAAAGCCACAATGACATATTTATGCTTAAATGATTATTTCGAAGATCAAAATAAAAAACTTGAAAAAGTTATTCACTTATCTTGGTTAATTATCAATTATCTTTACTCACCTTGACCTTTGAACTCTTCATGAAGCCAATGGGTTAATTGTGAAAACCAAACTGATGGTGTTGCTGTAATCAGAATTCGTTCACCATTACAATTTATGCATTCCATTGCACGTATGTGTGCACGTGCAACATCACGTACGTCAACCATACCAAGTGAAACTTTTGGTGCCGCTGGAAAAGTATGATAATCCATCATTCGCTTAATAATCTGAAATTTTTTAAGCTGAAAATTTTGTTTACAAATTGTTTAAATACATATTACATACTTGAATAATAAATTTAAACATAATTACATACCTGAATACTCGAAATGGATTTTCAACTTTTGCCTAAAAAAAGAATAGATTGTTTGATAGATAAATGACAAACTTTGGCACTTCCATGTTTCTGATCTGAAAGCACTGGACCAACGACAAATGATGGATTTAATACAGTTAATTGAAATCGTGATTCTTCTAAAAAAAATTTATTAATTAATTAATTAAATAAAAAGGCAAAAAAAGATTATTTAATTTGACAAAAAATTTGTTAATCAGAAATTGATGAATAAAAAAAAAGGTGGTGAAAAAAATCGATGACGAAATTGATGAAATATGACGAAATTGATGAAATTTGCTAATTTCTTCCGAATTGTAAAATTTTTTACATAAAATTTAGGAAAATAATTTTAATTTAAATAATTGAAATAACCTGGTAAAGATTTCCAAAATTCCCATGCAGCTTTTTCGGCAATTATTTTTGAACGACTATAATTTTCAATTCGTTTACTATTTAAATTTCCCCAACAATTTTCATCAAATACTCGCGCATCATTTTTATGTCCATCTATTAAAAAACAAAAATTAATTAGTCAACAAATTAATTAGTCAACAAATAAAATTATCGTATTAAAAATAATTAAACAATTAGATTAATAATTAATTAGTTGTAAAATTAATAGAATTAATTAGCAGAAATAATTAATTTATTTGCAACTATTTCATATTTCATATATATATGCATATGTTATTTTTAAAATTTTCCTAGTTATTTCAATCGGAATTATTGGGAATTACCGTTTATAGCAGCTGTACTGCTAGTTAGCACAATTTTTTTGGATTGTACTACATTGTGCAGCAGCTTTTAATACATTTTAAAGTACCATTCTTGGCTATTTTTTATAGTTGCCTCATCAGCTACAATAGGCCAAGGTGATGCAATATGCATAATATATGTACATTCTTCAACTGCTCTAAAAATTTTTAAATTAAAATTTTTTTTAAAAAAAAAATTTAATTAGCTAATTTGTAAATATAGAATATTCAAATATTTATTAA